ATTTCGAGCTCTTCTAGAGTTCTAAAATTGGCGCAATCACCATGGAAACCAATAGAACGTTCCTGATGATTGTTTTCGTGTGTTCGAATGTTGCCGTTTAAAATGTGAACTTTATATTAAATAAACAAACAAAAAAAAAGTGTTGCAATGCCCCCTTCTTTGGAGATTTTATTTTTTAATTAATGTGGGTGTTATATTAACTAAATAACAAGCTTTAGTGAGTTCACAACTGAATTTATTTAAATATAGATAAAAATAACTTTGCCTGAAAAAAAGTTGCAATTTTTCTCCTGTTCGTTGTGCGGGAGAGTTTTATCCCACTTGTCTAGTTTTGCCAACTCGATCACGGTTTTAATAACCTTAATATAATATAGCGGTAATACATTGTAAAGGGATAACGATAATTTGATTTGCATGGTGTTAGAAAGGTTGTGCATTTGGTAGGAAAGGGGCATGTTATATCCGCGTCAATTCAGTACGGGTGCTATTGCACACAGTACACACTACTATGTTATTATCATTTTCTATTAATAGGGAGATTTTAAATGTTTGATGGGAAGACTGGTTTAATTAATCGATCAGTAAATCCACTGATGGGACAAAGGTGAGACCAGTCCTGACTTGTGTATATTATGCATTCCGGGGAATGTGTTTATTGGTATATCCTAATATATGAACATGTGGACATGCAAATTATATTCTAATATACCGATACATGCATATATACTACTGTGCAAAGCACTATCAGATTTATACTTTTTATCTATCATTCTGTCTGTCTATCCAATTTATTAGAACTTATATGCAACTGGTGGGTAATATTATTTCATTCTGATAATCACCAATAAATATACCCAACTTGCTTTAGATCAATTAGCAATCAATCATACATTAGCAAACACCGACATTATAAAGGTCCCCCCTGTGCTGAAACAAGCCCTATCTCATAATGCTTCCAGAGCCCTTGGAAGCATAGCAGACCCTAAGAGAGTCCCTTTCCAGCAGGAGAATGGTTAATTGCCCTCATCCTGTCTCTAATCGTATTAGCTACCAGCCCCGTGGATTTCAAGTGATCTCTGACAGCACGTAGTGAAGAAAAGGTCAGAGCATTGAACGGATTCAGATATATCCTCACCTCGAATAGTCACTTTAACCTTTAATGATCTGTGTGTCTCATCAGATTAACAGGGAACGATTACAGACACTTCTCTGCACTGTCACACTCTCGTGTGTGTGTGTGTGTGTGTGTATGTGTGCGTATATATACACATATATATACACAGACACACACACACACAGATATATGGGGCAGTTGTATAGATAGTAGACAGACAAACCAGATAGATAACTAGATAGCTACATAGACAGACAGGCAGGCAGGCAGACAGACAGAAGATAGATAGATAGATAGATAGATAGATAGATAGATAGATAGATAGATCCATTGATTAAATTAAAGATACATGTATTATCCTTTTACAGACTCTCATGATCAGGCTGCAGCTGAGTATGCAGCCATGGGGAAGCATGTTACTAGCCCTGAGCAAATTGCTGAGAGCAGCCACAAAGTGTCAGGGTGCCCTGATCTGTAATGAAATGGTGCAATGAGTCCGCACTGGCCCATAGCTTGTGAGGAGCTTTCTGTGATCTACAGTCAGCCTAGTGTGGCACACTGCAGGTTTTATTAATGAGAATAGAAAAAAAAACTTGCATTTTTTTTTTAAACTCTGCTTGAAATGCGTTGCTAGGCAACTACTGGGTGACAATTCATCCGCGAAATTTAAATGTTTCAGAACGCATCGGTTTGGGTTATTATAGCATATTCTCCTCGAGTGGAGATCAACTTGTGGGACCTGGCTGTAACAGCTGACTTTCTAATAAAATGATTTTATATATCATGTGTCTAACGTGGCAACTGTGTGTCTAGCTCATCAAACCAAATAACCAGCAACGAAAGAATGAACGATCCTTAATAAATTGGAAAAATGCAAGGTTACTAAATAAATAAATAGATAGATAAATAAATATAATAATGTTAATAATGATATATATATAATAATGGCACGTTTCTCTGTTTTGATGTATTATTTCCTGTTATTGCATATAATATTACAGCATGCAATGACAGCACTACCCTAGCCTTTGTAAATAACTCTGCAGAAATCCCTGGGTATTTGTTGGTGGTAACACAACAAAGAGAGTGCCCTGCAGTTTCCAGATCGGATAGAGGGGTTAGTGAAGCAGGTCATGCGTGGGTAATAAAGACAGAGAAGTAAAACAAGCCATTTCTTTCTATGCTTGGATCTGTGAAAGGCAGACCCTGTGAAATCAGGACTGCTTGGCACGGTGATTTAATGGACCCTGCCTGCTAAGTCTCTGAAGAACTAGTGGCCAATCCCAGCTCTGACAGAGCAGATCTGAAATACAGCATTACACTGAGATTCATTTTGCAAGTTACTGTTACATATACTGGAAATCGCTAGACCAGTCTTGGAAAATATAAGAGAACAGAATATTTGGATCCTTTGGAATTATTCCATCAAAAATGAATTGAAAAATATTCATTAGTAAAATTTACACAAAAGTAGCGCAGTTGGAAAAATAAATCCACAAATCTGTCGAGCTCGAGTTTGTTTTTTTAAACCTGGCTATTTTGTCTTTAATTCAGTTGCCAATTCACCAAATGACCATCTAGTTGAATTTTTTTATAAACTTATGAAAACTCAGCATTTACTTTTCTTATAACAGTATTGTAAGCAGCACAAAAGACACACAATCAAAAAAAAGTTCTTGAATTATAACAATGAAACAAAAAAAGACAGAATAAGAATAAAAACTATAGGGCCACAATAGTAAATGTTCATAGCTCAGAGTTTGCCCTACAAGGCTTATCGTGTAGTGATTATTAAATAAACACAGGGTTTTGGCCACTAATTGATAAATGCAATAGAGTACTGCAAGTGTCAATCAGAAGGCGAAGAATTGTATGCCATAACAACAATGTGGCACCTACATTGATCTCAGATATCTGTAACTTGAATAAGAGACTGCCACTGATCAGTTAATTCTGGGAGATACTATAGACCTGACTCATTGCAGTGAAATTGAATAAATGTTATAGTCAACTTGAAATGTGGCAAGAAAATGATGTATTCTGCCTAAAGTGAGTGAAGAAAGAGATGTAATAGACAGACTGCCTTTTTGTTTCAATGTCAAACAAACACAGAGACGTGAATGTGAATCCTACAAATCCTTCTCTAAAAAATAAAAGTAAAAAATAATAATAAAATAAAAATATATATAGTAAGTCACAATTCCTATACACCCTTCTTTTGCAGCCTGAAAATAGATTTGTACATACACGTTTAGCAACAACAAGTACCACACTATGTATTCCCAGGAGAGATAGCATATTGTACTTCTAGCAGATAAGTTAAGACCTTGATGACATTAATCAGAACTTAACAAAGGCTTTACCTATTCATGGTTTTCAAGGACTTGAAGGTATAGCTCACTGAATCAGTACAGAGCTCTATCTAGTTATATACAAACTATGGTATAAGAATACATTACACGTTTGGAGTGAAATGCATCAGAAAATCAGATTCTCTCCTAGTTACAGCTTTTACAAGTAGCCCATATGCTTCATTACAACATATACTGTCAATGAGAAGGTATGGGTCCCACTGACATATCATCTTTCTCTACTATAGCACAAGCTCACCAATAGCTCCCAATGTAATGTAATAAGGATCACCCAGTTATTATGCAAACAGGGCTAGCACTGGCTCACAATACAAGTAAACAATATCGAATGTATGAACACTCTTAAGACAATGCACACTACAAGCTGCCTAGGGATCACAGATGCTGCTAAGTGCATCTCAATAAATGAAACCGTTTCAGTGTTGAGTTAAACACTTTAGAGGGACACATTTTGTTGGTCCCTATATAAAGTCTCCCATCCCAGCAGAGAACTGCACGTTGAATGTATTTTCAGGAACTGCTCTTTACAGATAATTCATTTTAAAGCATAACTTAAAATTGAACCTACCAGAAAATTGTCAATAATATATTGTATTGTCCATACGTAGAAATGCAATATATTTTTAGTGCTATATGCCAATTACAACATCCACAAAGTGTAAGTGCAATTAAAAGTTATTTGAAATCATTGTTTAAGTCAGTTATTCATTTTCCCCATTTTCTACCTGGGCTGGATTCTCTATGCAGATAAATAAAGTGTAACTATATATAATTTCCTTTATATTCTTTAAGGCGAGAGTTGCTTCCCAATGACCATATCATAACTTATCTCAGGTTCTAATAACCAGCTTTTTGATTCAGTAAACTTGGGAACAACAGCTGAACAATAAAATCTGATAGATTTGGTTGTATTGTTTTTCATGGCTATTTATCCTAATCTTTTAAGCCAGTTATAAACTCAACCAAACACACTATTCAGCGAACAAGCCCCTAAAAACCCAATTCACTATTTTTAAACATACAGAAGTTATCACTTATCCTCCATTGAAATCCGTACAGGTGGATTCAGACACAGGTGAATACGAAAGGCACTAAGAAAACATTCACATCAAAATACCTAAATCTAGACCATATATCAGAGAGATTTAGTGATGTATATAACCAATACAGGTGGAATACTCCAACAAACACCACGGGGTATCTGTAACAGCCTCCCTTATAGGCGAAAGGTTTAAACAACAGAGAATGCTTTCTCAGTTAATGTCAAGGTCAAAGCCTCCTCTAGAAATGTCATCAATGACATCCCATTACTGCCCTAGCCTTGGATATACACACATACACTGCACTTACTACCTGCTGAACACAGTGTTGCAGGCCACTTACCGCCACTTTAGCCAGCCAACTACACATATATCACAATTTCTAATTGCTAATTAATAACAGTGTGTGTGTGTGTGTGTGTGTGTGTGTGTGTGTTTTGCTCATGCTATAACTGCTATTTTATAATCATGTGGTTTTTTTTTTATAATAATTTTATTTTTGTGCATTACACATTCGTATTTATACACTTATAAATACGAACATACAGCTGAGATCCTTTGATACAGACAGGAGTTAAAACATCCTTATTGCAGCAAAACAGCAAGAAATCTATTATCATGAAAATATCTAAAAAGTCTGTCTAGCTTCAAAAACAATAAAGTCAGTCTTTGTCTTCTCTTCTGCCTCTCAAACCACCCTTTTATCCTGCATTTTAATATATGAACCGTGTATATGCCACACAGGAGGTAGAGTGGGTGCAGATATGAATGATGTATGTGTGAGATGGGTGCTGCCCAACGTTACGACAATGCACACTGTGGATGTCTGTCTGTATTTAAAGAACAACAACTGTGTCCGTTTGGTTCATTTTAATTAGCTCGAGAAGGCTATTTTATTATGAAAATAAACGGATAAATACAACCAAAAAAATGCTTTTAACAAGATAAATAGGTAACAAATATATAATTTAAAGGGAACAAAAACAAATGTGGAAAAGTAAATATTAAATTATGTTACACGTGTTGGTAAAACGGTAGACATTGATTCGGTAGTGGAATTTTTACAGTTGTCATTACAAACCATTCATTATTTAAGTATGAAGTGAGTTGGTGGGGTGGGGGTGGGGTGAGGAGAAAGGGGAAATATTTATCACACCGCCTCCTGGAGATCTATAACACCTAGTCAGGTGATGCTCAGCTAGATCCATCACACAAAGTGGCTCTTTCCAATGGTTAAACATGGTCAGAGTGGTTATGTATACTAGTGGGAACAGAGAACCCACACACAGAGGTCGATTTACTAAGCAGTGAATTGTGGTGAGATAAAAATCCAAGGTGATAAATTTAGATTAAAATAACTAAGGATAACAACATTTTACAACTCAACTAAATTTGCACCTAGGCTACTTTGTGTATTTAAAAAAAAAAAAAAAAAAATACAATTCGGTTTAGAATGCACTACAATTCACTGTTTAGCGAATAAGCCCCATAGAGTATGTTAATCAGCTTCATGTCCTTCCTCTTTGCTATTTTTCAGGTATTAGATTTCCCGAACTAGCAAAGCAAGGATAAAAACAACAAATAATGGATATATTGACTATTTACAAATGTCATAATGAGGTGAAGGGACAGCAAAACCCCCATACACCGCTTAATTAACAACGCATTTATTCCAAATTCCAGCACAATTCACTGCATGACAAAGGACAAAGGTGATATTATTGCAGAAATTATTGGCACAGCACAAGAGATAAACTAAACATTGACAAGTGTCAATCGTGGGATTGCTGGTGTGGATCACAAATCTCTTAACACACAGCAACGTAAAGCCCCAAAAAGGCAGCACTGGTAGCAATTTAAACCCAGTCACTAAGTGCTTCTAAGTCTTTCATATAAAGCGACTCCCTGTATCATAAACCTCTACACTTCATGTGTGAAAAATAGGATTTTAGCTCATGTGTGAATAGAGACCACATCCTAACACATCTGACTGCTGAGGGATCATCAACCAGGTTATACTTAAAAAAAAATGACAACAAAATACACACACACACACACACACACACATACACATACACACACACGTACATAGAAAAACATGTTTCAGGCACATAAACGTAGAGCAGACAGATATTATTCCTATTGACATGGACATAACATAGAACAGATCCCTCGGGTTACGAAATATATGCAAAATGTAAGTGGTCAGCCTGAGAGATAAAATAAAAAATAATAATAAACATATTAAAGCTTTTCAGAACAATACGATCTGTTTGCTTGGTATTTACACAAATGACATGAGGCCTAGGAGCGACAAAAAAAAAAAAAATCTATTGGTTGGAAGCCTGCTCTGCATATTGCTCTTTACCAAGGAAAACATAAACACGCACACACTCACACAAACACACACACACTCTTTAAGCTTTTGAGTGGCAGTGGGTGAGGGCAAAATGGGCACCGAAAGAGTTCAAATTGAATGTGCCCCTTCCATGTAATAATCAGTACACAATACACAATGTATATTTGTATCAACGTTACCAAAAAAGAAAAAGAAAACAAAAATCTGAGGTTCTTTGTACAGATTATTGCACAGACAGATTTGCAGTAATTTCAACATAGAGGTGATAGTAAATATTGTCAGGGGTTAATGCACGGTATGAAGAATACAGTGTAACCGGTCTGTTCAAGGTTCAACCTAGCAATACACAAATGGATATGGGACAAAGAAAAAAAATAGAAACAGCCCTAATGAAATTCGCAATGCAATCCCAGAAACGCAATATAAAAACCACAAATATAATTCACACTATGAACAGTGCAATTCCAACACACTTATTAAGCCATCTATTGAATGTTAATGTGTGTAGAATGTCAATGATGACATTTTAATGAATGAGTCTATATTTAGGGAGCCATGTAATGGACACTTTTTTAATAAATTCAACAGAAATAGGCAAACCAATTCTATTTGCACGTAGGTGCTATGCTACTTGTAAACACATATGACATTTGAATCGGTTTGATTTTTTTTTTTTTAAAAACACTCATACATTTTTTTTTCATTAGGGAAGTATTGATAATATGGTAAAAGTTTGAGGATGACTTAAATGTCTGTTGCTAGAAAAAAAAAACACTGAAAAAAATCTAAGAAACATTAATAATTCTCACACCTACTCCCAATATTCAATAGAAAATAAAATCTGAACACATGTTTTGCCTGAAATCACTTTTATCCACCAATATCTGTTTTATGCATCAGACACAGATTTTCCGCCATTTCTAACAAATTTATTTTTCTCAATCTTTTCGTAAAGGAACCACTACTAAAATTAAATTACAATCAGATGATCACATCAAAAGAGACCATTTCAATCTAACTGTCCATACTTCTTTCTCAAATTTTGATTTGTGCTCGTTGAAATAAAAAAATAAACAAAAACAAAACAAAGAAAATGAATATTTTAAACAACACTTAATACAAGATTTTGGGGAAAAATAAATTACCGTTTTGCAGCAGTTCATAGGTATTCTGAATAAAATATTAAAAGGAGTCATTTGATGAAAATATAAAGCAAATTTTTTTTTTAGATCAGCAACCGATCTAACATGTTTAACGTTTTTTTGTCTGTTTGTTTATTTGTAAGTCTGTTTATTAAAACACTACCAAAAAGAAACACTGCTTGGAAATTGCAGTATTATATATATTGTCATCCTCAGCACCCATTCCTACTGGCAACGTATTTAGGTGAAGGGAAGTTACCATAAGTGCAGCTGCAGATGTCTTTTTTTTTATTATTATTTTTTTATTTCCCTAAACCATTTTTTTTTGTTAATGGGAATCAGTCCAAAAAATAATTTTGAAAAAAAAAAAATAGGGAAAGCTTTTTTTTTTTTTAAAAGTTCTGAAATTACAAAATGCCACCAAAATGATTTAAAAAAAAAAAAAAAGATTTTGACATCATAGGATGATTCCTCTTCTTGATACAGTTGGCTGGTGTGGAGCATAAAGTCAAGGTACCCAAAATCTAACCCCTGTGTTGTTATTGTGACTGTGTTGCTGTTTTTTTTTTAGCTTGCTTTTTTTCCCAGTATGGGTATATTCCAAAGCTTGTTTTACAGTCATGTTAGTGCTATATGTAGATTTAATTGCTTGGCTTTCAATGCAATCAGATTTTGTTCCCAATGTACGACTAGTAGGCAGGGAAACACGACTTGTGAATGCTGCAATCCCAGCTAGCAGCACAAACAGGCCACTCTCGATCATTTACTTTTGGGGATCACCAGACAAAAATAAAATATATTTATATATATATATAAAAAGAATAAACGTGCCTATTGTTTGTCTTGTGTTGAGCAAAACATATTGCGTGGTCTTAGGAGCAAAAGAGGGTAAAAAATTGACAGTGGGGAAATCCATAGATGTAACTGGGTGGACGTCATAAGGCAAATAAAAACAATATTAAAAATATAATATATATATTAAAAAGGAACATCTGCAGTTATTTTTTTTTTGGTGCATTCTGCATCTCCACCCTTGTGCCTCAGCAGTACCTACACATTTGCTCTCGTTCTGTGGATGTGACTCTCTCTCTCTTTCTCTCTGGAGGTTTGTATCTGTATTTATAGAGCTATTTATAAAAAACCAGCAGTCTAGGTGAGTGTGGCTGTGAGTGATGAGGTCCTCCCGTGTCTTCCCTGGTCAGACAGCTGCTGGGCGCCCACTCCAGTCATTGCACACTAGTCTGCATCCCGTGGTGAGGGGGCGGCGTGTCAGCTCCCACTGTACCCACCTGGGAGTAGACATCATCCGGCGTCTGTTGCTGGATCCCCGGTGGGGTCATCCTCTTCTCCTTCTGCCTCCGGTTGCAGAACCAGACCCTGACCACCTCCTTCTCCAGCTGCAGACTGTCAGCCAGGTTGGTGATCTCCTGAGCTGAGGGTTTGGGACATTTGAGGAAGTGGCTCTCCAGGGCCCCCTTGACGCTCACCTCGATGGAGGTCCTCTTCTTCCTCTTCCTGCCCTGGGCGGCTATCTTGTCTATGCTGGTGGGGCTCCCCGTGGACGAGTCGGCCTCCTCCAGCCACTTGTTGAGCAGGGGTTTCAGCTTGCACATGTTCTTGAAGCTGAGCTGCAGCGCCTCGAACCTGCAGATGGTGGTCTGGGAGAAGACATTGCCGTACAGGGTGCCCAGGGCCAGGCCCACGTCCGCCTGGGTGAAGCCCAGCTTTATCCTCCGCTGCTTGAACTGCTTGGCGAACTGCTCCAGGTCATCCGAGGTCGGGGTGTCCTCGTCGGAGTGGGGGTCGTGGCTGTTCACCCCGGCGTGGTGCTGCTGTGGCTGCTGCTGGTGATGCTGCTGGTGCTGGTGGTGGTGATGGTGGTGGTGTCCGGGGTGCTCCCCCAGCTCCGGCGTGTCTCCCCTGACCAGGGCCGGGTGGACGAGGCTCTGGCTCCCCGGGGGAGGGCTCAGCATGCCGTTCACAGTGAAAGCCCCGGCCTGGGAGTAGAGCAGGGCTTGTTGTTGCTGTTGCTGCTGCTGCTGTTGCTGCGCCCCGCTGGCCATGGACTGGATGGCCCCCCAGCCGCCCGGGTGTCCCTGGTGCGCTCCGAGGTGAGGCGGTCGGTGGTGCAGGGCGGCCCCCGGGTGCAGCTCGTCCCTCCCGGCTCCTCCTTTCACGTCCTGCTGCTGCTGCTGCGGGTGCTGCGGGCTGCCCGTCATCCCCACCGGGCTGCTGGACCAGGGCGAGCCCGCCTCCGCCGCGGCGTGTGGCAGCGCCGTGACCCACTGGTGGGCGGCGTGGCTCAGCATGTGCCCCCCGTTGCTGGCCGCCATGGCCCCCTGCATGAAGTCGCTCTGCACCATCTTGATGGAGGGGTCCCCCCGGTAGCCGCCTGACACCGAGGTGACGGCCGCGCTGCCGGGCTGCATCCCCCCTCCGCCCCCCGAGTCCGAGTGCACGATGGAGCCCGGGGACAGGATGCTGCTGCCGGGGAGGTAGGGGTTAGAAGCCGCCGTGGCCATCGCTTCCCCCCGGCCGCTCGGGATCCACAGGCTGGGGGCTGCGTGCTCTCCTGCCCCGCACCCGGTGTACGGCTCCCCCTTGAGATGCAGTTTTGTCCTTGGAGGATGAGCCCAGTGAGTGAGCCCCCCCTCCTGCCTCCACTCAGCGATCACTTCACCTGCTGCACCGAGCCTCCCTCACTGGGACCGGCCGGCTCCCCCGGGCACTGACCGCTCTCTCAACAACTTTCCCGGATCTCCCGTCCCAAACTTGCTGGGGTAGCGCTGCCCCTCCTGCATCGGCTGAACTTGTCCTTCCTGAGCAGGCTGGGTGCCCGGTCACCTCCGGCTCCAAACTACAGTCCTGCACATCCTCCCAGTGCCAGGCGGGGTACTTCCAGTGCCAGGCGGGGTATCTCCAGTGCCAGGCGGGGTAACTACAATGCCAGGCTGTTAGCTGGGCTCCCTCCTTCACACACTAACTCCAGGGAAGTTGTCTGGATTTGGGGATCAGCCTCCCCCCTGTGTGTCTGTGTCAGCTCAGTGTGTCCCTCCCTCACAGAGCGGGGACTGGAGAATGTTTACCCTGCTCGCAGCGCGCACACCACCACACTATCCCAAATACTAGCAGGCAGAGTGCAGGGCCCCTGCTGATTGGCTCCACGCTGGGTGATTGACACCAAGGCATTGACTGGCTCAGGACGCGCACATCCCCCCCCCCCCTGCCCCCTTCCGGCCGTTTCGATTGGTTGCTTTTTAATTTAGGCAAAGTGTCGTAGAAGCTGGGAATGTGGAGCCCCTTTAAAAACACACATATTGATATAGACCGCATCTCCCATCACCTCCACTCGGGGGACCTGCTGCAATCATTGCATGGCTTCCCCAATGCCAACCAGCAGTAGCTTGAAGAAGGGAAGTGGGTGATGTCACCGGGCAATATAGCTCACCCACAACCTCATGAAATAGTACAGTAAACTAAATCACAGGTACAAACATATATATATATATATATATATATATATATATATATATATATATATATATATATATATATATATATATATATATATATATATACTTAATGGACTATAGGGCTATATTTCTAGCTATATTTCTAGCTATATGGGAATAATAATAATATGGGGGAAAACACAACAATCTGCCCTGTAATTAAGACATATATAAATATACACACACATACAAACACAGAGTGGCCCAAAAGTTAGGTATACAGTATAGTTTATTTACATATGTCTTGCATTAATGTTGCAACATTCCAGCATTCTTTCCAACTGTCACACTGATATTTAAGCGCCTGAAATTTAACTAGCGACATTCCACTATTCTGTTGTGATGAATATCATTCATTCAGCTGTATACCTGTTTTTGGGCCACTCTATCTATCTATCTATCTATCTATCCAGGTTGTTTCTAGTGTTAGCAATTCTGGTCCCCTCCTCACTAGCAGAGTGTGATTGTTGTAGCAGGGGTCATGCTGCAGGGCTAATATTTGGTGATGTACAGTGATGACAGCTGCTTATCCAGGACCTAGAAATGTGACTTTATTCTGTATAGTGAGCAGTCTCCCATGCTCAGGTGATGCTTGTTATAGAATGTAGAATGTTGTGAAAATATCCCAGCAGTGCTTTTAGTAGCAGCAATAAGATTCTAACAAAAATCACTTCATTCCATTAGAATCAATGTGATGACAGCTGCTTATCCAGGACCTAGAAATGTGACTTTATTCTGTATAGTGAGCAGTCTCCCATGCTCAGGTGATGCTTGTTATAGAATGTAGAATGTTGTGAAAATATCCCAGCAGTGCTTTTAGTAGCAGCAATAAGATTCTAACAAAAATCACTTCATTCCATTAGAATCAATGGATTGCTGGTAATGGGCAAATGCAGGACAGGATGCTCATGTAGCAACAAGAAGGGGTTATAGATATCTCAGAGTTAAAAGAATGAAGAAAACTGATATATATATATATATATATATATATATATATATATATATATATATATATATATGGCTTTGAAAGAGTCACCATGCAGCCAAGGATCACGCTGTGTCTTCAGCAAGCTACATCCCCATTACTTCTCCGCTCAGATACCTTACTTAAAGGGACACCCAGACCACTTCATCTCATTGATACACTATCTGGCTTTGTGGGATGTATGTGACTGCTTTTATTAGCCATCTCTCTGCTGAAATCCTCCATGAAAGGGTTAATGAGAAAGGGAGGGGTGTGGGATGTATCCAAGCGGAAGATCCAGCACAGCCAACCTCAGTGATTCAACGCACAGACAGAGAGAGGGGCAACCAAAACAAGGGCAAATTAAATCCTCCTCTGGGACTGACTGACAAACAGTACCACTAGGACACTGCCATTAACACCCCTGCACTCACATGAGGGATTATATATGTGTATGTTTATGTGTATTTCTGGGGATGTGTGTTTCTGTGATATATGTTTTGGGTATATGTGTAGTGATACATGTGTGAATATTGTTGATATGTGTATATGTTTGGGTACACAAACACACGTTTGTGTGAGTTTATGTATGTGCAATTTAATATAACAGAATATAGTACGTTAACTTTTGGACTATAGTATAAAATAAATGGAATTATGCCACTAATATTTAAATATGCGAATACAGTTTAGATTGTGATTGACACAAATAACATTAAAATACATATATATGTATGTGTATAAATACACACGAGAGTTATATGTTCCTGGTATATATATAAATATACACACATACACACACACAAAAATAATCAGGAGAACCCCTCCTCCATTCTTAGTAGAGTAGATGTGTGTGGCTGAGCTGGATTCACCCTCCACCACCCCATCCAGTGGGCTGCCCTGCAGTCTGAGCAGGGCCTCATTCAATGTATCAAGGAAGCAGCATGTCCAGTCCTGCTGCCCGGTGACAGATCCCATCCCTAGCTGGGTTCAGCAAAGGAACAAAATAAAATCCATGTGAACTTTACACATGTGAGGGCCAATTGTACCCTGAGATCTGCACACAACCACTTTTTGTTCCTCTGTGTCCTTCCAGGGCTGCCCTGTGTGTGTGCAGGGGAGATGTAACACAGATCGCATTGAATGGAGCTGAGATCTCCAGGTGCAGGCGGTTACATAGTTACACAGTCCCTGCCAGAACCCCATGTTTTCCTTTCCAGCCGATTTTGCTTGGATCCGGCTCAAAAAAGCGAGCGAGTCTCGTGGTTTTGTTTACACTGAATGGGGAGGATAGGAACCGTGCCATGGGGCCGGCTTTCATTAATATACAGTGAGGATTTTGTCTAAATTACTGCTATGAATTTCACAGTACAAGCTTTCAAAAGACGTCTCAGGTGGCCCTGATGTAACGTGATAGCTCCTCAGCAAACAGATCTACTTTCCCCCTCTGAGATGATCAGGAGGGGAACTATCTAAATATCTGCACATTCATATAGGTGATATATGGCCATCACTTGAAAAATATAGTCCATATTTTATATATACCCAGGACATACTTATAAACGAAATAACTCTTAATGCTTCCTTCCTGATAATATATATATATATATATATATATATATGTGTATATGTATATATATATATATATATATATATATATATAAATATATTATATATGTGTGTGTGTGTATAATATTTTTATTTTAAATATATATATATATATATATGTGTGTGTGTGTGTGTGTGTATGTATGTGTATGTGTCGATGCACAATAAACATACTTGTTTGGAAGTTCTGTTTTTAAGTAGAAATCCCTCCTCTCCCACTCTCTCTTCCCCCACCTCTTTAATTTAATGCGATTGTTTTGTCTGGAGAAGAAAAAAACAAGCTAAAGTACAACAAGGGTAGAAGAGTTAGTGCTGATTTTCATTTGCATAAATTTTCATATATTTTGGTGAAAATAATAGACTAGTGGAAAGCTTGTCTTAGTGGAGTCAGTGCTAAGGGGGATCTTAACAGGATCGTTTCGATGGAGTTGAGAAATCGTTTTCTTTCTCACCGAAACATCTTCTTTAAAAAAAGCTAAGTTTTTAAATTCATGACTTTTTAAAAAATATATTTTATTGATCATGGGGATCTCGTTGGTAAGTATCATCATATTTATTATTCTTATTATTAATATCTAGAACACATCTAGGAATCAAAGGGATGCTGTGCTGTAGAGACCTCGAATACTGTAATTATTTGTGATCTATAACAATAATATTATTGTTTTATTGTTGTTTTTCAAGTGATAGATTTCATGGTAGAGTTACTGAATAATTGTGTGTAAATATAAGAAAGGATGCTTTATATAAACATGGGATCTTTTATTAAGCATGGATTGAGTGAGAATGGGCTGACTGGACCCACTGGGTGAATATAGAACCTTTGATTTAAAGGGAACGTACGGTTCTTTTCTTAGTAAAACGTTTGTGAAGGGTGTTTACAGTAGCATTTGCAAATGTTTCTGGTGGCCTGCAGTAAGCTCTCTATTCAGTAAACCGATACAGGGATGGTATTCGTCTTGAAAGTATAAAAGGGGGTCTAAACAAGTCGAAATACCCAAAAAAATAGTAGTTTTCAGATTTTTAAAGATGAATGTGGCATTTAAACTGTGCCTTTAAGTATTGAAAAGGCCTATCTGGCAATTAATGCAATCTTTCTTTTGTTTCGCTTTCCATACATACTTACGACTAAAACAAACCAAAAAAAAAAATTCTACAAAAATGATTTTACGAGCCAATATTGTTGCTGCTAATGAGTAGTTGTAATAGGACTAAGGCATGTTATTTTGCATGATGCCGTATTAACATTTAGCGTGCTGATTTTGACAACGTGTTGTTTTATTGTAATCATCCACAATAAACTATTTCTCGACGATCCGTGCACTTGTTGAAATAAAATGTTTGCCTTTGATTAAACTTATTTGGGGTAAAATAAGGCCTTAGAACAGTATATTCCAACTTGCTGGTAGTATCTCAAATAAGAAATATTTTATTATATTGTTACTTTGTATCTAAACAAAACAATTCACTAACACTTGGGATGAGACCATGGTCCTTCTAGTGCCAGGCTAAGTTTCAGAAGAAACAAAAGCACAATAGTGTGTGTGGAAGGGGGTGGGGTAGCAGAGTATTGGGGGTTCACTCTAATCTCATTTTAGCTCTCCTCGCTAGCACACTCACAGCATCTCTTTTATAGAGATTAACTCTGTGCTCCCCATTGCAACAGATGCCAGATACAGCAGTTCCCTGAACATCATTTGTTTTCCTGACAGGGAACATTTCTGAGCGGAGAATGCTGGTTGCCATAGAGAAGGAAATAAAAGGATGGCCAATGGCCACATTAAGCTATATGTTTGTGCACCGGGCTTTAGATAAAAGAGCTCCGGCTTTGAGTCAAAGACAAGGAACGCACAGCCGAACTCTTTAAACTTGCTGGAACCAGTTTTATTTCCTATTGGGTTCTATGTTCTTTAAAACTCACACAGCAACTTTATAGGTTGTCCTTAAATTTTATATGATACGGTTTGCTTTGCAAAATAAACTTTCCACGTCTTCCTTAAGTGATGTGCTGATAGCACACGCTGTCCAGCAGGGGGCGCGGCTAGGGAGTAAATTCATATTGGAGTGAGCAAAGGTCTAATTTATTCAGTTATTGTTAGGCTGATGGGAGATGGGGGGCAATATAATTGTTCTGTTTCTCTTTATAGCTGACATTAACCCTTTCAGTAGAGGCTATTTATCAGACATTTCTAAAGATGGTTGCTGTTTCTATTCCAGGCATTCTTCAGGCTGGGAAACGAAAAAAGTTCTTTTTTTTTGCCTACTTGTTTATTCACAGACACACACACACACATATTATATATATATATAAATATTACATTCATGTAGATACAGTTTTATATATATATATATATATATATATATATATATATATATATATATATATATATAGTTATATGTGTTTAGAAGTTATATATGAGAACAATAATTAAATAATATCCGACAATAAAAAAAAACTAAAATAAATGTAACCTCCTGTTTAACAGATTTGTTCATGTCATAGACAGTATATGTTGTAGGATTTGTAACTTTCTCCTCCTGTTGTATCATAGTTAGAATGTGGGAGGCATGGGGCCAGTTGAAATAAATTGTCTTCTAATAATAGAATGGGGAGATTTCAGTTCTCGGTGGCAACCAATGGGGTTTTCAGATCCTTGGTAACAAAGGTTAACACTTTATCATGTATCTATAATTATATTTGTAACTGGATGGGACACAGTCTTGGCAAAGTACAAATACGGTTATTAATCATTTAAAACAACAAAAAGTATCTACTGAAAGTAAAAATGAACAGAATTGAAGGAACACTCTACCATACAGTTATCACAAGTAATCGATTACAAAAAATATATACAGACAATTCTTAGTTTGTCTGAAGACATCATTCCATATTCTGCTTTCATCTGAACTTTAATGGTTGGGAGAGGCTACAATAAATATTATACTTTACATTGCACAACGTCATGCTTATGTGTGCCTCCTATACTGTGCCAGAGTTATCTATGTACCAGACGATATAAACCAAGCATATTCAGGGCAATTTGCAATTACCCCAGTACTTTCCTCATTGTGCGATATATCTTGTCTCTATACTGCATTATATAGACGTTATCTATGTCTCTATAAGACATTATATAGACATATTAAAACATAGGCATACATGCGTATTACTATATGTCTTAATACCATATGTTGGGGTACCTAAATGTGGAAGCAAAACTTAGAGAGTTGTCACAAATCGTTAATTTCTTGTATTTAACCAGTTAAATGCTGGGTTTCTGCACGTTGATCATTTATATTGTTACAATGACACAGTGTGTAAATATTTCCCTGTGTATATTGTTTCATATAATAGTTATACACGGTGTATATTGCCTAAGAAAATGCATGGTTTGGAACAGTAAATGTAAAATGAGAAAACTCCCCCTTCTTTTTATATACATCTCCCACTAACTCACAATTACTATGAACACCATCGATTAGCTCACAGTCCCTACAAACAGTAGCCATTCACTCACAATCTTCTGATGCAGAATGCCCAATTAGTAGAATCTGTATAACGAATAGCAGACTTTTTATTCCTTGAGGAACATCAGCAATCCCTTAACAAGCATTCCAGTCGCTCTCTGGCTTTTTTAGCCAGTTTGTTCTGCTACCTAATGGGTTAATAGTCTATACAGTGAGTGATATGGGGAGAATGTGCAGCACTTTGTTTAACGTATCAGATCTGTGTCCTTGTTAGATTTTTGGTGACATTTGATCTTGTCTATTATGTTAGGGATCCCGGGTACTTTGAAGCTGGTCAAGCTTTTGACTGCTCTTTTTTTATTTTATTTTATTTTTTTTAGCATTTATTTAAAAGATCAATGGTCAATTCTAACCAGATCCATTTTTATTTGTTTATTTATTTATTTATTTTTATACCCACTTTAAACCATGCAGTTATGATCAGAATTAAGACTGGTTTATGTATTTATTTGTTTGATAATTTAATAGAATTTGCATATCTGTTGCTAAATTACAAATTACAATATTGTTGCAAATATTAGACTTTATATTTTTCAGTAACCACTCAGATTACAAGAAATGCTACAAAACACATACTATTTAAATTATTAATTTTTTACTTTTGTATTACTACAGTTTGTTTTCTAGGCTAGGCTCATGTAAAAACTTGGCCATGGGAGAACAGATAGGGGCCTCCAATCCCAGGCTACACTGGATGATTGATTGGGATGTGAACGATTAATAGACCTCCCCCCTTGTAGATATTAATTGCTTCATTTTTTATGAACGTGTTTTGAGAGTACACCGCAGACTAGAATGCATTCAGTGGTCTCATTGAGGCTAGAAATCTGTGGAAGTTTTGCCATAACACAGGGACAGAGCTTTATTCACTAAACAGTGTATTGCTATGAATTGATGATCTAATTCCATAGATCAGGCCAGCACAGCAGAACGCAGACAATATCAAACAAAGACAATCGTAGAATATATTACAGCTCTAATATATTGGTCTAAATTTGGCAAGTGAGTTGTAAATCTATATCAAATTTCTGTTTAGTGATCAAACCTCATCTTATTCTAAACCTCAAAACAAGACCTATTTATTTTTTGCCCCACTCCCCAAACTAACAAACTATATTTTATGCTGGTTGACACGAATGAAAAGACAAGCACCGATTCTAAATAATACAAAGCATGGCTGCTGCTTGTTTGCAAGTCATTTGCAGGAATGGGTCTTGGATTTTGTTTTAATTAGTATTCAGTGCAAAACCTGTAAAACAATTACAATCCAGAGAAATAATGCAGCTCACACAACAATCACAGCACAGACAGCAATACTCCCTCCCTGTACACAAGGTTTCTTTTATACCAAGTATAATTATGTCTGGAACCCCAGCTGCATTGCACTCCAACGCCCACTGAGCTTAGCCAGCAGTTAAGTGAGATTGGTGAGAATTTCAGTCCACTAAAACCAGAGTACCAACAATTAATCCTACAGTGCCATCACTAGCCATTCTCTGGTAATATTTTCCTCCATACATACATGGGCAGCCTCTGGATGAGGCTTAAGGATGATGAGAGTTGCAATACTATGTGACCTCATTCTTTGCCTCAACTTTCACCATCTTTAATCTCCTATGGTATAGAGAGGTCTGATTTAACCAAATGCAGTCGAGTATGAGAAAGGGAAGATGGATTTTTTTATTTTTTTTCCAGTGGAGTCTGTTCAGCAAACAATGCGTTAAGTGATGCGTTGAACAACGATAAAAGTTAACCAAAACAAGAGATAGATTGGACAAAAACTAAACATATAAAAAATCAACTCCAAACTTCAGCCAATGTTGCCTATATTTTTGAAACGGGTTTGAAAACTTCCTTAAACTCACTGTTTAGTGAATAGATGCCTTTATTTATCCTAGCCACACCCCTTAACTATTAGAAAGTAGACATGCTTCTAGTAAAGCGCAGACTGATGATATTATGTACAGTAATATAATGTGATTACATGTCATATTATATATGTGATGCTCATGGAGGAGGGGGATGCCAATGTGAATCCCTTGCATATCATTACTGGATCAACACAGCAAAGTGGAGTTTAGCCCTGTTTATAGAGTGTACATGAATTTCACTTCCTGACAATTTTACCCTTTAACTGCCAGCCAGGCACTTGGCACTCCTCTTTCCAGCAAACCAGGAGTTAAATGTGACTTCAGAGTGCAGTATCCGGCAGTGCAGGAGTTGAGTGCAGAGTGCAGTATCAGGCAGTGCAGGAGTTAAGAGTGAGTGCAGTATTCAGCAGTGCAGGAGTTAAGTGTGAGTGCAGTATCCGGCAGTGCAGGAGTTAAGAGTGAGTCCAGAGTGCAGTATCTGGCAGTGCAGGAGTTAGTGTGAGTGCAGAGTGCAGTACCCGGCAGTGCAGGAGTTAAGAGTGAGTGCAGAGTGCAGTATCTGGCAGTGCAGGAGTTAGTGTGAGTACAAAGTGCAGTATCCGGCAATGCAGGAGTTAGTGTGAGTGAGAGTGCAGTATCTGGCAGTGCAGGAGTTACGTGTGAGTGCAGTATCCGGCAGTGCAGGAGTTAAGTGTGAGTGCACAGTGCAGTATCTGGCAGTGCAGGAGTTAAGAGTGAGTGCAGAGTGCAGTATCGGCAGTGCAGGAGTTAAGTGTGAGTGCAGAGTGCAGTAGCATTGTCTCTTTGTCTGCCAGGCGGGGAGTGGGGCATGTGTTGGTCTCCAGCTTGGGATTACATCCATCAAAGCATTATTTCCCCGGGGAGGGGCAGCACAAATGACAGTAAATCCTGATAAAATTGGATCGCTGGAAAATTAAACGCTAAAAGTAATCTGCAGTCTAGTATAAAACAGTAACACGTGTAACATACTGATAGAATGTTCATTCTCACTTCTACATCTGATGCCAGTTAGTTACAATGTTTATTTTATATCAATGATTGGTCCTGGGACCCTGCAAAGTCACCAAGTCCTCCTGCCTTCTACCATTACAGCCAGAATACATTAACCCACTGGACAACAAGGGTGTAATTATTATCTCAATGATTCCAAACACTTCCATGGTGTGATGCTCAGTCCCAATCATTCTTGTATGCCCGTTTAGGCTCACTTTATAGTTTATTCAGAATTAGGGGGAATGAGAAGGCATTAATTGGCTATGCTACATTTTTTTTTCTAAGATTAAGTAACATTTTTCAGGTACCACAGCTCCCCCCAGCCTGAAAAGAGTGAACACTGCCAAATATAACATTATATCTAAATCTGTCAGTCTGTCTATCTGACCTACATTGTTATATTGCATGTATTCATGGTATGCAAATTGTAGCCATGACAGGGTTATTCACTAACGTGAGAATTGAAGGTGAATGCAAAGTGAATTTCAAATAGACAAACTGGTTTTACTTTCAGTGCAGCTACTCTGTCTTTAAATTTGGGATTCACTTTGACTTCATATTTAGTAAATAGCCCTGTTTGTTTTCATGCAATCTAGCCTATGATTTATATAAGTATATTATATATTTACAAAAATGCTCATTTTGTGTTTGTGCCATTTATCAGTCACAGATGGCTGGTCTCACCTCGAAATGAATATCACACATACTGAGGCACGTATACCGTATGTGGATGGTTATCAGAGCAGGTTAGAGTGCAGGGAGGTGGGATGAGCACATTAGACATGTAAGGGCAAGATGCTTTAAGCTGGGTTTCTCTAATTAGACGAAGCTGTAGTGTTGCCAATATAAGGGAACCTATCAGTGTGCTGTTATGAGACAATAAGCAAGGGATAAAAGGATCATCTAGGGGTCTGATACCTACTGCTGGGTATATTGCGACACAACTGTAGTTGGAAAGCTGCGAACACTGTTTTGAGTACACATGAATTAATAATGGATGCTCGGTGTAACAGAGAACATGCCATTTTCAGTGAACAACTTTAATGCCACTATGTAGCATGGAAAATACAAGGGTGCAATATAATATACTAAAACTCTGAGCTCTATCTTCTTATAATAATAATAATAATAATAATAATAGTGAAGTTAGTTAAACAAAACTGCAATATCAGCTTAGTTCCAGCCAGGATAGTTAAGTTTACAGCTCCTCTGGAGGCTGGGAGGAGGTGGGGAGCAGCTATTAGTGGGCCTCAGGTAATAAATCAAACCGATACAAAACAACGTGCTGCAGTGGTTATGGTGTTTGAAGTGTGCCTTTATGTAATTCTCCTTGATAAGTGGACTGTCATTTAACAGACACTCAGTTCTGATCCACTGCCTCATCATTCACCACACCTTATGTGATGGGGACTGAAAACAAATGGGCAGGGATCCTTTGGCCTCTGTATAGCCCAGAATGGACTACCATAATCCACATGGTGGACTACCAGAATCGCACACTTAAATGAGTTGTGTGACTTGTAAAGAACTTTAAAAAAATTTTTTTCTAAGAAATAAATACTCTAAAATATTTCCAAGTTGTTAGTGCACAAGCAGAATGAACACAAGAAACACACTGACACACATACAATCAGTATTAATTGTCGATTCATCATTATTCAGTTGTATGAATTAACGGGCAAATACACACTGAAATAACAATAAATAGTGATATTTGGTTTAATAAGCACTATATTTAAAACATAACTAGTAACATCTATGACATAATAAATACCCATGTGCACAATCCCTTAAATCACAAACTCCTTGAAGTTTGATATGTTTTGTTAACTTCGTAACATAGGCCTTTCAAGCTTGAAATTGTAATATTATTAATGAAATTACAATTTAGACCTATTTCTAAGATATTAATGTTTTTTGATGTCAGCAGTTTTATCCGCAGAAAAAAAGGGAAAGGCTATGCAATAGTTGCAAATTCAAAGCTACTCTTTATCACTGTTAATTTTGGCAGCAAATTTATATTTTCCTTTAGTCATAGTCTTTTGACTAAAAAGCCATTTTAGTTTTAGTCGTACTTTAGTCGTCTGAATTGTTTTAGTTTTAGTCTAGTTTAAGTTGACTAAATCTCCAGTAGATTTTAGTAAACAGAACTAAAATCTAATGGGTTTAATTAAAGCCTCTATCTGTTTTTTTCCCCGCCTCTTTCTCAGCCCCCCTGTCTCTTTGTGTCCTCCCAGCCCCCTATGTGTCTCATTCCCTCAGCCCCTGTGTCGCATTTCTTCTCCTTCCTCCATCATGTAACTTACCTGCCAGTGTTAGTTTTGGCAGCAAATTTCAATTTAGTTTTAGTCATAGTCTTTCGTAAAAAGCCATTTTTATTTTAGTCATCTGAATTGTTTTAGTTTTAGTCTAGTTTTAGTCGACTAAATCTCACAGATTTTAGTTTACTAAAATCTGACAAATTGTTGGTTGACAAAATTAACACTGCTCTGTATAGGGACAGTGATGGGAAGGCCATCGAGTTAACCTGGGCCAAGGGCCAACAGGAAAGCTCAATAAACAGAACCAGCCCAGATTAGGCTCTCTGCCCCTTAATGGACAGATCAAAGATCTCCCAGCCCGGCAAACTTTAATGTTGAGCAGGGGAGTGGCCATCATGGAAGAGGGGAGCCAGGAAGTCTATGCACCTTCCTTAGCTCTTACATTTTGGGAAGGCAATATGAGCTTTCAATAGCATTTCATTCACTTAATTAAAAATATGTTAAACATTACTTAATTAAAACATATGCTAAACAGGAGTCTATGGTATATAATACAGGTGGTCAATGTTCTCCTTGGTTTCACACTACCTCAACATGAAAGTAAGGGACACGGAGTGGAGTGATGGTTATAATTGGTGATGACATAACGAACTCTATTGCGCTGTTCTGCATTTAAGTGACCAGCACTGACCTGGTGATGGGACAAGGAGCAACATGACTCGTAAAAGAAGCATACACTGTTATGGTGATCAAGTGTCCTTTCATATGAATATTGAAGAATTTTATTTACATCTCTTGTGATGGATTTAGTGAACATTTAACAACCCTCTTTGCGTTTTTTATTATTATAATTTTTTTTTTTTTTTTTTACTTTTACATTGTGTGATTGTTCAGTTTGGAATATCATGTGCTTCTTGCATGAAATGTCCAACTTTAACATCTGACTTGGCTTGTGATTATGCTTGTTTAGCAACTTAATCATTTTTCATTCCCGGCCTACATGATTTGAACAAACTGGGGCAGTTTGAGCTAGCTTAAGTATGTGACTTGCTTTTAAAGTATAGTTGACTTGATTTTACCTACACATAGTTTTTGATTATGTGATTGTGTACAATCTGGTTAGAAAGCCTATCTCTGATAGGCTGATGACTAAGTTGCAAGAAATAATGTTTTCTGGACTCTACAAGCCTAAAATACATTGAACGTTTTAGCAGGAGGGGAAAGGAAAGTGTTTTGTTCTTATGTTTCATGGTGGTGAGGAGGTATTGATATAGAAATGCATACAATCATAATAAATATATATTATTTCATCATTTTTAGAATGTATTACTTTCTACTAAAGGCCTACAGGCAGGATTATCAACTTTCAGTAAGTGTAGATGTAGAGGAGCCAAAACCCCTGCTCAACATGGGAGATTGGCAAGTCTTACCATTCAAATCTTCAACAAATGATGTCTCCACTCATTGTGAGCTCCTATAAATGCAGTACCAGAAACATAGATATTATTATTATTATTATCATCATCATCACTCTTATAGCACTAGCATATTCCACAGTGCTTTACAATAATATAAAGCAAAAAATGCAACAAACTACTAAAACGTTTGACAGGAACAATAGGTTGGCGAGTACCTTACTTGAATAAACTTACAATCAAGAAGATATAATATTCAGCTCAAATAAATTAAATTAAACAAAAGGGAAATATATCAATAAATAAATATTTAAAGCGGGTTGTATTCATTGGTTGTGGACATGTAATTTTAGAGTTCAGTCATCTTATACTAGCTTCACTACATTTTAGCAGCAGTTGAATTCAAATAAAAACTATAAAATAATTGAGCACAAGTGGACTCTAGTGCCTTTTAGAAAATAATTACAAGGACTTTAGATTGATTCTCTAAAACTTGTGTTAATAACTAGCTCTATACACACCATGTACGTACCAGGTAGAACTTTATAGTGCATGTCAGTGCACTTGAGGCCTTGTATTAAGTACTACTTAAATTGAGACAGTTTAAAATCCCAGTGCTTCTGTAGCCCATTTGAATGCCTTTTCTTTTATTGTTGCAGCCAATAGTAAGAACACTGCTGAGTCCACTGTGCATTTATTTGGAATAGTCAGTTCAGCTTCCTCTGGAAACTTGAAATATTAGGTCCAGGTCTACACAGCACAACACAGATGACATATTCTTCATTCATCCTTATTAGTTGTCATCTCCTGGTTTCTCTCACTGCCTTAGTTAACTCTACAGAGCATGGAACTTCCTGTAGCTGCCTGTTTACAATTTCAAGGAACTTGCACAGTTTTACTGCTTTACACACAGCATTGATGTAGGTTCAACAACTGAATGTGTGTGCTTCTGTTTTCCAGGCATAATACAATGGTCATCCCTTTCTCTTGACCTTCAGTCTTATGGTTTATTATGAAATATCAATGCAATTGAAATGTCTGGTGGCCGGAGATTCCCGGGATGCCAAAATAGAAAAGAAAATATCCAAAAATGCACTCTTGAAAAGAAAGTGTGAGAGTTTAATGTAGCTGCATTCACATCTTTTAATGTAAGTACATTCCTAGATTTGGTGTGTTTAATAATAAATGTCACAATGTTTCATGCTGTGTGCTCTTTCTTTTTTTCTCCGTAGATATAAAACATGCCTCTGGATGCTGGTTTGGATGGAAGAGAACAAACATGTTATATTGTGATGAGTATATGCTACTGATAAGGTAACGGTACTCCACCAAAAATGGGGAGTACATGGAAAACACTTTTATGTTTATTTTCCATGTTTTAGTTTTTTGTTAACGTGTATTAATTAATTTATGCTGGACAACTGAACAGAGAGATCACAATAACTGTAATTATGTGCATTAAAGATTCACACATGAGTGATGAATGTTTAAAGAGTTAATCCACAAGGGTTGTAGTGCTACGACACCTTATTTTTTAAATTAATATTTTAACTGTTTGACTGCTGTAAGCACCAAAGATTTGAACAAGTTAGAACTTGTGTCCATGTTAGGTATTGTTAACACAGGTGGTAGGTAGATGACTGTAACGACAAAATACCGACAAAATACATTGTCCGCCCCTGTCTTTACACTAGACACGTCTGCCTCCACTAATACTGACCACCAGTGAGTGTTTACTATTTTGCTAATTGGATAAAAATGCAAGTGTTTCAATTACTTGCCATAACAACTCCACCAGGACTCACTCCGTGAATGAACACTTCACCTGCGATTTTCAGATTGCCATTAAGCGTTTATTCATTAAACAACAAATTGTAGTGAATTATAAACTGAATCACAAAATGTTATCAAAATAAATTTTACAACTTGCCTAAATTGTGCAATTTAGTTTTCAATGCACCACAATGAATTGTTTACAGAATAAATAATACAACCGACTAGCAAAATGTAAAAAATATTTATTGAAAGCAACACACCATACTTATAGATAGGTTGTTTTTCGTCATTATGCTGTTTTGGGAGTTTCCAGTTACAAGCTTGTTTTTTCTACCTTACACATTGCTGAAGCAGATGTAAATTTGAACAAGTTATTGACTGCATCCAACATGGAGTAATTTTTTACTATCTAGCGTGGAATCCTGGTGTTATTTAATGTTTTGTGTCTCTTAGTACTCCTTATACAGTATATTAAAGTTAAGGTAGCAACTAATAATGAAATTATGTTGCCAGGGAACAGCAGTACGGCACTACTTTTGCCAACAGCCATTTTAAACATTACCAGCTTCAGAGTAACTGACAAGCACAGAAACAACAGAAATTTACAGTGTGCAAGTTGCACATTCACAGGATTATACTCCAACGTCTGAGTGAATTTATAAAGTTTTAGTGAATTTAATCCAAATTGCCAAAAAAAAAAAAAGCTTATGTAGAAAACAAAAAGTCATAGCTCAGCTGTCTTAGACTGAATTTTACAGTTTGGATTTAATCCTCTAAAATTCAGAGTTTAAGGAATAACCCTCTAAGTCTGACTTGTCAACCAACTTTTGAAAGAAGGATGGATAAAAGAAGTTGTTTTAATTCAGTGTTGGATGACTGAACGATTAAAGGGATTCTACAGTGCCAGGAAAACAAACACATTTTCCTGGCACTATAGATTTCTCCTCTGTCAAGGTCCCCTCCCAAGGCACTGAAGGGGTTAATAGCTCCTTCAGTCACTTACCTGGGTCCAGCGCTGATGTCCCTCGTCGCTGGCTCAGCTTCACCCACGCTCCTCCCCCGCCGAAGTCCACCGGCAGAGGAGACCTAATGAGCATGGGCGGCAATGGCCGCGCTTGCATTAGGATCTCCCCATAGGAAAGTATTGAATAATGAAAATCTGATGCTGGAAGTCCTAATGCAGTGAGGACATCCAGCGTCAGATAACGGACCAAAAGTCTGTTTCAATTCTGGAAGTCCCTCTAGTGGCTGTCTGGTAGACAGCCACTTGAGGAGGAGTTAACCCTCAGAAGTGATTATTGCAGTGTATAAAAACTGCAATAATTACCACTGCAGGGTTAAGGGTGATGGGAGTTTGCACCCAGACCACTTCAATGAGCCGAAGTGGTCTGGGTGCCTACAGTGTCCCTTTAACTCAAATGTTAAGCCAAATATCAGACAAAAAGCATGGATTGAAAAAAACAAAACAAATAAAACTGAGATAATTGTTTTCTGATAGACAAACTTTTTATATGACAAAACAAAATCAATATAAGCAGTAATATAGAGAGGGAAGTTTCTTTCAAATATTTTTTATTTTTTAAATATATTGAATTATATGAGAAAAAAATAATAATAAACAATGTAATCAACTGTATCATGTAGTGGTCATAAATTTAAATAAAGATACATAACCAAAATATATTGGAGGATTTCAGAAACTTGAAGCTGTTACAGTAAGTGTATTAATACTATAATGACCTATAAGTTTCAGTTTTAAAACTAAGCTTTTAATACTTAAAAGAAACAGAAGGAAATCAGAAATGCACGGACCTTGGTCAGTACTTCCTGTTCTAATTTTCCAGTCTCTCCATGACGGCAGCATGTTATCGTTCGGCCTGCTATTGGTGAAGGCATCTGTCAGGCAGCGCTCTCCATACAGTGTAAACTTAAAGGACAAATGTCACCTCAACAATATCTTTAATATAATGACACTATAATCAGATTTCAAAAGGAAATAGATTCTTGGTTAAATTAAGTATATGGAAAAAAAGAGAAAAACTCATCCCTACCTTCCATATGTGAGAGGATTCTTCAGCCATATACATGCGCCTTGCATCAGACATTGTTTGAAAAATGACAGCCAGTCACTATGGTCTGATGGTGGCACTGCACTGTGGAGTGAGGCTGGGAAGACCACAGAGACTCACTGTGAGTTTTCAAACTCTGTCTGACTCAAGGTATATGTATATGGCTGAAGAATTCTGTCATACAGTAAATGTGGGGATGAGTTTTTCTAAATTTTTATTTCCATATACTTCATTTAACACGGAATCAATTTCCTTTCAATACTTGATAATAGTGTTTTGATTGTGTCATAAAAACATTCCTTGACTAGTATCGCGAACATTATGACAGAGCTGTTGTAGCCCCCTTTTTTTTAACATCGATGGTGAAGATTCAAATAATGAGCAGAGTTGACAATGAGAGATTCACAGGAGTGTTTTGAGCAATGGGCAGCTGTGATTGACTGTGATTGGCTGCAAGTGTCAGCTGACCACTTTCAGCCTATCACTGTTCCTATTGCTGGTATGAATTAGTATGGCTAGTATGGCTAGTATGGCCCATCATGCAGTGTTAAACTGCTCTCTTTCTCCCCAATGACTGTGGCTCCCAGGGCAGGGGAGATAAAGCTGACATGCAGGATATTTTTGAAAACTGGAACTGTAATAGATTTACACCTTTTTTGGTAATGCCAGCTTCTTGCTCCACTGTTAAAGAGAAACTAAAGTGGCAGACACAAACTTGTTTTCCTGGCACTATAGCTTCTCACTCCATCGTGGATTCTCCCTCTCCCCATGGTGCACAAGGTGTTAAAAATCCATTTTGTCACTTACTTTCGCTGCTTCCCGCCGGCTGCCAATGCAATGGCCGAGATTACATTAGGATTTCCCCATAGAAAAGCATTATACAATATTTGTTTCTACATTGTATCTACTACAGGGCGACATTTGTGTTTACCCAACATTAAGGCAACAAGGCCCAGTGTCAGACACACAACACTGGCTACAAGAAACAGACCTTTGTGTTTAGTGTTGGATTATCCACAATGACACCATTACCTTGAGGGGTGGCTGGTATTTATTAACTCCAGTAACTAGTTATCCAGTTAGCCAGTGGTGGGGATAATTAAGGTGACAATTACTTCCTCTTCCAGCTCTTTTCTTCATTATGAATTTTAGTGTGTGAGAAGACTATTTCTTATCTCCACCCTCTCTCACTCCATTATTCCGCACTGCTGCCTTTTTTCCGTTCGGGAAGTGTAAAGATGCCGGTAAACCTAAATAAATGAATAAACAAATGATTAAACCAGCATGGAAACATCTACCTAATGAATTCTAGGAACACTATACATTACACCCTATATAAGGTTCCATGCTGTGATAATTGACTGCACTACTCTCTTGCCATTGCTCTAGAGACAAAGTTATACATGGGCTTGTCTCTTCTTTTACCACAAATATGCACACTTTCTGCTGTAAGATATAACACAATTTATTTTAGATTTTTGCTATATTTAAATCCACTTAGATTTAACTTCCTTCGTATTGCACATGGGGAACAAGGAAGACCATTAAACAGATATAATTTGGTTGATAGAAAGGCCCTGGGCCCCTTGGATGCTGTTTTTGTTAGTAGTGTTCCTGATGAATGACTCCCCAATATTCCATCCCAATTGTATGTGGGTTAATATGGAACAGAGAAGGTTGGTAGAAATTTTAAACTACCCATTTAACATAATAGAAGGGGCAATTTCTATTATGTTAAATGGGGAGTGACTTGCACCTTATCTAAAACATGCCCTTTTATTTTTAATCATCAGTTGCTTGGGGTCAACCGTTTAATTTATAATTAGCAAAATGATCAAATGACTTTCAGGTAAACCTATTGTATACTATATATTATATTGAATCTATCTATCTATCTATCTATCTATCTATCTATCTATCTATCTATCTCTGTCTGTCTGTCTGTCTGTCTATTACTTGCTTCTCGGACTTTCAAGTTTGTCTGTCTGTCAAATCTTTCTGATTTTTTTAAAACTTTTTTAGTTATTTGTTTTTCACACAGATATTAACAATGGATGACAAAGAATTTGAGATGTAATTTGTTATCCTTTATATGAATAAAATATGATGATAATAAAATGAAAACACTATAGTACAACCACTCTGGTTGTTATCTAGATACCCCTCACCCACTCCTTGCTGTTAATAGTTAAATGTTTTACTTGCATGTTGATGAACGCTATGATGGGACTAGACTCATTAACATGAACATATCTGGAAAATGCATAGACTGATAATGTCAAGTAATTAAATATGTTGACATTTTTATGAGTTGAGAATGACTAGCACTCAGTGAAGATGAGGCAACCTGTAATTTAATCATTGCTACAGCAAGACAGGTAGGCCGCTTTCTCTTCACTATGTACATCCTCTGCTATCTGTGTTGACATATATTACTGTTTAAGATATAATAGTTAATGCAAAACATAATAATAAAATAATAATTGAAAGTAAAGGACATTGAAATGAAATAATGTCTTTCAAAGACTTTCACGCCTTTTAAACAACAAGCTGCAAATGAAGAAAAATACACATTGGGATATATTAAGTGTAAGTCTGTAGTGATGTAATAGCTTTTCTTTTGCTGTCCTAGACCAAGCCCAGTCTATAATCACAGATACACTTTATCATTCTATATAATGTTTGTAATATATGTGAATATATATGCATTTGTGCAATGACTTTGCCATTCCTGTTCAGCCATCCGTTAGAGCAGGGGTTCTCAACCCAGTCCTCAGGACCCCCTACCAGTCCAGGATTTGGGGATTACCTGGGTGTGTCTCAGGTGTTTAGAAAAAGGGAAACACCTGGGTGTGACTCTAAGGTGTTTTTTTTTCTTTTTCTAAACACGTTAGACACACCCAGGTAATCCCTAAACCCTGGACTGGTAGGGGGTCCTGAGGACTAACGTTGAGAGCCCCTGCGTTAGAGGAATTGTAGATCACAAAAATATGGAACCGGAAGGTTAGCTATCTATCATTAGTGGATAAGACACCATGCGTTAGGGTTTCAATGTAATGCCATACAGTTAACATATATTTTCCCATAGGATTTAGTTTAGTTGTAAGCTTATTTTCACCAGCCTAGCGGCTGGTGTTGAGTTTTGAGGTTTAGAGGTGACAGTTAAACAGCAGAAACATGGTTGGAAACTATAGAAATCAATTCCCATAGAGATTACTGATAGCCATTAGCAAACATTTAGCAAGAGGCTTTAAACAGCTGGTAACACCTTGTAACAACTAGTGGAATTGTTCAACTGGTATTCAGCCACTACTTGCTACTAATACTGCTGGGCTCTTTAACTCGTAGTGGCTGTATAACAAAAAGACAACAGTGGGAACAAGCCAAATGGATGTCAAAGCTTGCTGCTGGCCACTGATAACACCCTGCTGGGCCACCAGTTAAAGAAGCAGAGGCCGACTGAGAAAATACATACCACAATCCTGCCATACCCTCTACATGGCTGCCATTTACCCAGGCCTAGTCCCTTAATGCGAGCATGCATTGCCAAATCAGAGAAGTATATAGTGAGCATCATGGTGAGACACCTCAGTTGGTTAAAGCATCAACTGTGGAACCTTTTCTAACCTCAAAATTAAGGGTCCAGTTTCTAGCAGCATCAACCTGGACTTTTGTCCTTTCCAATGTCCGTAAAATTAGTATTATTACATAATAAATCTAATAAATCAAACACACTGAAGATATAAACTCTCTGTTAGATAACTATTGTTGTCTCTACTGTTAACATAGTTAATAAGATTTGAAAGAGGAACTAGAACTGTCCTAATTTCAACCTTTCCAAAACATTTCTTTATTATCATCATTTAATAAGTTTTTTTTAGGTATTAGATGCAGCCTTATCCTAACAGTACTAACTTTTAATTGTATTTTTCTTCTTTTGAGAACATCTAATTTTATCCCTCATCCTTAATATCCTGTCTCTACAACTTTTTTTGTCTTTGTTTTTTTCCTTACAGTTCCTTATTAATTTGACAAATAGATAGATAGACAGACAGATAGAGAGACAGACAGACAAATGATAGATAGATAGATAGATATAGACAGACAAATGATAGATAGACAGTCATATTCAGAGAGAGTAGCGAGTGAGAGAGAGGTCAAGAAATGTTGTACACATGAGTGTAATAAATAGGATATAGCCACATGTTACAAATTAGACAAGTTATGCTACAATATCCCATGGTAACATGTATTAGTGGAAATTGCACACAATGCTAGTTTTGTAAAACCTACTCAGTAGACATGTTTTACTTTTACTGCATCACTCCGCTTGGATGGCTGCTATGTCAGTAAATTTTAGCTGATTGTCTTAGATGAGTATAGGCCGAAATTCCTTCATATCCCATTCACCTGCCAGAGTAACCCTGGGTCAACGTCTATTAATTACAAATACTAAATTTCCTCCCTGGTTAGATAGCTACCCAAACATCCCTTAACTCCTTCACTACCAAGAGCATTTATATACGAGCATCAAATGAATAAATACATATTCCAACACATTCCACAGAAAACTTACACCCTTGCAAATTAAAGTTCTTTAATTTGTTTATATAAACTAATTGTGTTTGCATAATAAGCCCATACTAAGACCAGTAGCTCAGCCTAGTCCAGGAGTGGAAACCTTGAGAATAGTGAGCATCATGGTGCAACAGAAGCTCAAGCTGCATCTCCAGGAGCAATATCCCAGCAACTGATTGACGTACACAAGAATTACAGAGAGACTGGTAAGTAAATGCATTTCATTTTGTATCTCTGTAGCAGAATGACAACCACAGTTGGAGCCTTTTAGGTGCGTACCACTAGAATATTGTCTGTATAAAAGTATAGAATTAATACTATGACACTGTGACATGTCATGAAATTGCTTTGATTCTAATGTTCTAGTGCGTTTGCTGTATGGTTCTTACTTACCGTAATAAAAATTGATCATAAAAAATAAATAAAAAATAATGTGCCTCTTTGTATCTGTAGTCCTTTTTCAGCCACCGTGTGCTCATATCACTTTGCATGTGGGACCTTCCTGCTGTGTATATTTTATGTGTCGATAACTGTTGGACTTTTTGTCTCATAACATTTGGGGGCAATACATATGGCTTATATATATAAGATTTTGCTTATTTGTACAAAACACACATTTAAGTTTTAGCTTTGATTTGCGAACTTTTTAATTTTTAGCGACTAACAATGAGAGTACATAGTTACATGGTAATCTAGATTGAAAAAAGACTCAAGTCCATGAGTTCAACCTTTTAAAATACTTTAACATCTTTTAATGCTGCTGATCCAAAAGAAAAATCCTGATCTGATATAATGGCCAATTATACTTTAAAAAGAGGATAAAATTCCTTCTGGACGTCATAATGGCAATCATTTCTCCTTCAATGAAAAACCTGTACACATACATATTAAGTATATCCTTGAAGATTCTGTTTAAAAAAAACCAAAAACAATCATGGCTTCTTTAAAAATGTGTACAGATTCTGATAAGAGACCCTCTTTAGGCAGATAACCAATGTGGCGAAAGTGACCTTGCCACTGGTTTTTGGAGGGGCCTGTTTGCCAGCCTCCACCCTGCGACTATGGCCCTGGGATGTATTGCCCTTTTAGGAACTGATTTGTGGCTTATGGAATTGTATTGGACTGTATATGGCCCTTTAAGAAATGTATTTGGGAATAATGGATTTTTATTGTGCTGTTTCTGTCCCTTTAAGTACTTTGGGAAAGGACCTGCAGTTTTGGAATGGCACTTCTGATGCAGCCGAAGTAGTCGAAGTGGCCGCCATAAGAAAACCGAACACGTGGTGGCGGCGGCCATTTTGATTCATTCGAATGCAGTCAGCGGTGTGTGCCGTCAAACTCATGGAACTAAAATCCACTACAGAATGGCACAAATACCGCTGAAGTTTTACCTTCCCTGGAACTAATGCATTTTACAGTTCATTCAACTGTTCATTCAACAGTTCGACAATTCGAATGGTTGTCGTTCGTCTGTTTGAACTGACTCTAACATGGGACATGGGAAATAGACCGGCCGCACAGCCTGATTCTCTGGAACTGTTTTGGGCATGAAAATGTGCTTGAGGTCGGTCATAAAAGGACTTCAGCTAACCTTTTAACCCCTGCATGGAATTGGCTGAATTTTGACTATGTTTATAATTAAAGTGTGCTGAATAATAATATGTCATTTATGAAGATTGAATGTATATTTTTAAAGTTACAGTGTATGTGTAAAAACTGTATTTCTCTGCCTGTGATAATTACATTAACCCATTATATAAGGTAATTGTATCACAGGCAGAGGGAAGGATTTTGTGTGGGAGTGTCTGAGTGTATTGTACGTATTGATTGGTTGTACTTCAAAAACCTGTGGGCGGTACTATGGTTGTAGAATGGGCATAAAAGCAGAGTGTTTGAATAAAAGTTCAGTTCTACTTCACCCTCAATTTGGAGTGCCGTCTCTTATTGGGGGAATCTGCTTCAAGGGATTGCTATGCTAGGCATACTCACTTGCTATAATCACTCCTAAACTCTTTTAAGAGCTTGTTCCTGCTTCGCTCTGAAGGAAGAGAGGTTCAGTCTGCGGTGGTTGTGGTGTCGGCTAGAGTGCTTGGAGCCCTCAGGAAGCGCTAGGAGCATTTTTCAATGAAGGTAGCCAGTCGGGGTGCCAGGTGATCCGTTACAACCAATAATAAATATTGTTCATAAAAAGTACAAATTGTTTTGAATGCACCAAGAGGTACTGTCTCCAAAAGGGATGAAAATGTATGCTACACATAGACATGGTGCAGTGGTAAATGGGAAGAATAATTGCAAAAAGAAGCTCACTGATAGTTGTCAAAAACAACAAAATCACATACAAATTATGTATTGCTGAGATCCACAAAGTAAAAATACATGGCAGGGCTTTCATTCAGAATCTACTTGTATCCAAGTTCAACTTTAAAAAAAAAAAAAAGCAGAACCTGGAAGGAAGAGCATCAAAAGGGACCTCTGTGCAATGTCAAAACAACATGATAAATTCTCTTTCACCCTATTCTCTAAATCTGGATGTGTTTATTTTTTGCAAACAAAGTATATTTTCAACCAAACAAGTCTCCTTAGCAAGTGTTAGATAAGGTATGCGATCCATTAAAGTATAGACAGCAGCTATTTTGTAAACTTCAGATGGTTGTTCTGCATGATCATATAATCTCAAATGCTGTCTTCATAGTTAATCATGTTTTGATGTTAATGTCCAATGCATGCTGCTACTCAAACTCAGACTTAGATATAATATTACGTCTTCCATAGTCTTCCAATTTGTACATCTGAACTTCACTGAACCTTGTTAATCCCTCAAGCTGGAGCCATGTTATATCCAATAGACACATTTCAAGACTTCTTAGTAAATTAATCTGTGCTGGAGGCAAAAAGATTGTCCCTACACCTTATTATCTTATAAAATCTAGTCAACTGTTAGGTATTTTTTTCCACCATATCTGAATGCTGATGTAATAAAGTATTTCATACATTACCTTAATATATTGCTGTATTTTATCATTTAATTATATTGTAATTTAATGTTTGACACATTTCACCTATATGGTTTGAAATCATGCATTTAATCTCTGTGAAGAGGAATGACTATACACTGCAACCCACTTCTAGGACTGGAACAATTTAGATGGTAAATGCTAAGTCTAGGACTGGTGAGATTTATTCATAGCAGTCTCTCTCCCTTCTATGCACTGTCTCTATTACTCACACATTCTACAACTTATCTCTCCCAGGAACACACTGTAGGAGATTTTCCAAAGTGTTCTGCAAAAATATAAAAGGGAGGAGTCACTAATGGAATATGCCTGATTTTTCCAGCAGATTGTCAGGATTGGGTAATGATCCCCACACAACAACCCTAGACTTAATAGCAAGCATAGAGGAAATAAAGTATTACTGGTGTTTGGATGGCTGGGCTTAGCACTTATATAATAAAATGATGTGCCTGTAGAAGGCAAGAAGAATAGTCTTAAATTGGCCAAGGTCATGCGACAACAGACAGATAACAATATGATGAGGTCAGCCAAGGTCAGAGGTACAGAGGACAGCGTAATCATGGGAAATGCCAAAAGTCAAAACTGGAAACGCCAATAGAGAAAACCAGGCACGGTTCTGAGAGTAGACTGGGTTTATACAGGGGATGCATTAATTCTATAGGCCAGCATCACTCGAGTGATGCAAAAATGTGCTGAATCACTGTCCAGAATGTTTTCGATTAAAAACATTTTCTTTAGGTGCTCCCTTACATATATAATATTTTTTAAACCACTGAGATTATTGGCAGTACATGAAATTTATCTCACATACAACCAACAGCATACGTGGTAGGAACAAATACTTAAGGAGAAAACCAATAAAGGTATCACCAACATGAAAATAAATATTATTTTTTTTCTGTATCTGTTTAACCCCTTCAGGACTGAGGACGGTTCAGGACCGTCATCTGCATTTTTGCATTGCCGACCGGTGACGGTCCTGAACCGTCCTAACGGTGCAATGTACTTACCCGATCGCCGTTGTTCGTCCGGCGGCAATTGGCGGTGCTCCCGTTGTGGGGAGACTGCCTGCAGCCCAGACAGTCTTCCCGTGGCGGATTAGGACCCCTGGGGCCATGTGATCGCTCAACAGAGCGATCACATGGTCACAATAGGTGTCCTAGTGTCTGCCTGCAGGGGGACTGTCTGTGCTGACAGGCAGTCTCCCTGCTAGTGTAAAATCATAAAAAATATATATATATATCTATATGTCTATATATCATATATATAATGTCATACTAAGTGTATTTTTATATTAATATGTACATATATTAATATAAAAATACACTTATAATTAAATTACACATAAAAAATATATATATATATCTATATGTCTATATATCATATATATAATGTCATACTAAGTGTATTTTTATATTAATATGTACATATATTAATATAAAAATACACTTATAATTAAATTACACACATATATATATAATATATAATAACTATATATATTGTATATAAATATTATAAAATACAAATAATAAGTAATTTAAATTAAATAAAAACATAAAAATAATAATAAAAATTTAACAAAAAATATATATCTAAATGAAATTTTATTCTAAGTGTATTTTGATAGTAATATATATATATTTATATCAAAATACACTTAGAATAAAATTGTATATATATATCTATGTATACAAACAGCAGTTTTACTGATGATATAATTGTTGTGATACATTTTCTTGTTTTGAAACACTAATATTTGTGTTCAGCAAATTTTTTTTTTTTACAGGTTTTATAGCGTTTTTGAAAGTTACAGGGTCAAATATATGGGTCAAATATTTTTACATTGAAAAAGGCCAGGTTGGTTACGTTGCCTTTGAGAGCCTATGGTAGCCCAGGAATGAGAATTACCCCTATGATGGCATACCATTTGCAAAAGAAGACAACCCAAAGTATTGCAAAAATGGGGTATGTCCAGTCTTTTTTAGTAGCCACTTAGTCACAAACACTGGCCAAAATTAGCGTTCAATTTACTTTTTTACTTTTTTCACACACAAACAAATATGAACGCTAACTTTGGCCAGTGTTTTTGACTAAGTGGCTACTAAAAAAGACTGGACATACCCCATATTGAATAACCTGGGTTGTCTACTTTAAGAAAAATATGTACATGTGGGGTGTTATTTAGAGATTTATGACAGATAATAGTGTTACAATGTCACTATTGATAAATTTTAAAAATGTATGTTTTGAAACCGCAATATCATACTTGTACCTATAGCCCTATAACTTGCAAAAAAAAGCAAGAAAGCATGTAAACACTGGGTATTTTTAAACTGAGGACAAAATTTTGAATCTATTTAGCAGTTTTTTTCATTTGCTTTTGTAGATGAGTAAAAGATTTTTCAAGTAAAAGTAAAAAAACATGTATTTTTTTCAATTTTTCATGATATTTTTTTAATTTTTTTTAAATTAAATTACATGAGATTATATAAATAATGGTATGTAAAGAAAGCCCCTTTTGTCCTGAAAAAAACAATATATAATTTGTATGGGAACAGTAAATGAGAGAGCGGAAAATTACAGCTAAACACAAACATCACAAAAGTGTAAAAAGAGGCCTGGTCGCAAATGTACAACATCGCAAAAACAGTCCAGTCCTTAAGGGGTTAATATTTCAAATATTTACAAATACACTGAACAACATTATAAACACAACACTTTTGTTTTTGCCCCATTTTTCATAAGCTTAATTCAAATATATAAGATAAGGTGGATGGATTATCTTGGCAAAGGAGAAGTGCTCACTAACACAGATTTAGACAGATTTGTGAACAATATTTGAGAGAAATAGGCCTTTGTGTGTCTAGAAAAGGTCTTAGATCTTTGAGTTCAGCTCATGAAAAATGGTGGCAAAAACAAAAGTGTTGCATTTATAATGCGTTTATAATTTTGTACAGTGTAGGTTCCAACACTGTTAATGTACTAAATTAATCTTTTTTTTAGGACATAAAACATAAAATTTCAAATATTCTCTTTGTGTATTATTTTATGCATTTTATATTTGTTTATACTTCTGTTATACAACAGCAGTATATAAGCAAAACAACAAAAACGTTACCTGCACATTATCCCAAACATCTATGCACATTTAAATTTAATGCCACTACAATGGCCATTAAAGTGTAAGTTCATCTGCCAATATCAAGATAAACCTCGTAGGTGTATATTGTTAGTGTAGGACTCACCTAAAAGATTTGACTTGACGTTGGCAGGAGAGCTTTCACATTAATGGTCATTATAGTGATACTAAAAAACTCTGTAATTTACATTTTTATAGTGATTCCGGATAGAGCACACTTAACTCTCTCTCTCTATATTTACTTCTGAATACTGCTACCGTCCAAAAAAAGTGAAAATGTGAAATTAAAGTTGTAATAAAGTTAGATTTGCATCTAAGGGCCTTTTAATCATGTCCATATTTTCATTATTTCCCAATTTCTAGGTCTGGAGCTAGCTTTTTAACAATATTTCTTCAGAACCTCTGTTCTTTAAAAGTAACAAATCACCGTTTCTGTAATGGAATACTACAATTGGATAGGCTAAAAAAAAGCAGCAAAATTAAATATCAATCACATTGCAGAAACACTCCAGCAAAAAAAATTTAACAAATAAATAAATAGCATTGCCTAATGCATTCAGCTAATTTTTTTTCGCATTCTTACTAAAGGTCAACCAAAGCAAATCTTCAATCTGTCAAGGGCGTTATTATATATAGATATAAAAAAGTTTCAATTGCAATTTTAAGGAAAAGAAAATCCACTACAGACATTAACAGTAAAAG